ACACTACATGTCTCTCATTCGCCAAACATACAAATCTGGTATGATTTCAGCATGGGCCGCCTGGTGAATGAGCGAACTGTATCTGGCCGAAGTCTTGACAGTATCTAATTTAGTCCGCCGGCATCACGGGGCGTGGCCCGAGACTCAGACGACCGCTCAGAGACGGGGTCTGCGAGGACGGGGGCTTATTGATCCGCTCATTGCACTCAAGGACATCCCAGTTTGATGCGCCAGTGTTTCATGTGGGCGTGACGTTGGGGCGAAGTGATGCCTGAACATGTGTTGGTTTGATTTTAGCATAGTTACGGTACGACAACCGTAGTGTATGCGTAGATTCTAGCAACATAACTTGGATCATCATGGCATTTCGCAGTGTTTTGCGAGTCCACTTACAATCAATAGCTTTCTATGCCGAGGGGCGAAGCGTAAAAAGCACGGTTGGCTCTGTGTCAACCTGCCATTCCTCCAACTTTCCTTGGCTCTAGTGCTTGCTGGTCAGTCCGGCTGCAGTAAACAGCGGCGATCAGTAACAAACATTTTTTTGTGACTTCCGATCAGCTACCACTTGCAAGACACGAGGAAGACTAAAAACACTACCCCCAGTGCAATGGTTTCAGTTGCCTGCGAATTTACTGTATTTCAACATGATCGCACGGCATCGTTCTTTTGGAAAGCATTCGCCCACTCACTCTTCGATGGTTCAGGGTGATGTCGGCTCTCAGGTGGACCCTCTGGGAAGCTTACACACTGCAGTGGTTCGGACATTACGGCAATGATTTAAAGCTCCCCCTCATTCGCCGCTTTTGGTGACGCGTACTGATAGGGGGTCGATGTGATCGCCCTCTACTCTTTTCAAACTAAGAGAAATAGACCTTAGCATAAAACACCAATAGATTTGTATCATTGAGAACTAACGATTGGTAATGAGTTTTATGTTGCTATGGAAATTATTGGCACCGTTATACCAGGCCAAAGGTCAAATTTTCCCGAGCATGGAATCTTTTCAGGTTTCCATGCAGGTGCATAGTTGTGTGTGTTTTGAGCATACGCTTATGATATTTAGCTCCGCTAATGTAACAGTGTCTGCCCGGCGCTCGCGTCACGCGGCGTCGTCGGTCGGCGCCCTCCGACCGCGCCGGCCGTAGATCGCCGTGCAGTGCTTCCCAAAAACTGCTGCTGCTCCGTCATTAGAAACGCTAGGGATACGTCTCCTTGTGTCAAAATGCGTGCAATAAATTTACAATAGACTGCTGAAAAGCTGGGTACGATTGCGCAACATGCCTGAGAGATATTCTGAGAATAACCTAAGGGGGGGAGGGGGGGTTCGCATCGACCCCTCCCCTATCAGAGAGCGTTAAGCCACTGGGATCGGCATTAGGACGTCATCAGTTGGACCACAAGTGCCAAATTGTTTGTGTTTGCAACATTTTTCATCTGATATGGTTGAAATGCGCTCTCCTAGACGCAATATTTTTCTGTTTGTCTAGAAATGTTTTTTTCTGTGGGACCAGCCACCTACCCGGGGCCACTTGTCCAAAGTAGTTCACCTCCCCACATCCATCGGCGTGACTTTAGTTAAGAATCGGTGTGAATTTACTAGGCGCTTAAACCCTTCCGTTGTTCACCGGAGAGGTGGGTCGAAAGACTTCTTAGCGCCACCAAAAAAAGAAGCAAAAAACAAACAAACAAACAAAAAACTACACTATCTGTGTATCTGTTTCAGCTCAAGTAAAGCAGATCCCAAAACCAGCACGTTGCAAACAACTGGCATTCGCCTTTCTCGGATCGCCGATCCGATTAAATTATTTTTGACTTTTTTATTTTTTATCTTTAATTTTTTTTAAGATTTAGATTTTTTATATATTAGATCTAGATTTACATATATATTTGATTTAGATTAGATTATATATTTGATTTAGATTAAATTATTTTTTTTATAGTTTTATAGATTAGATTTAGCTTTTAGATTTAGATTAAACACTCTGTTTAATTCGATCAAACAATCGCGGCGCACCGGAACGATTCCGTTCAGCTGTGTACCGAGGAGTGTCACAAGCGCCTGACACTCATCGCCTCCCGCAGCGGATGTGGGCGGCCGTTATACCGGTATACTGAGCACGGTCAGCGAGTAGCGAATACCACGAGCGGGCGGCATGCGCCCGCGTGGGCAGGCTTCGAGAACGCCCGTCGTTAAAACAAAGCCAGCGAGGCCATGGCGCTGTTGGTCGGCGTGGGTTGGTGACGCCTTTGTGCCAGGGGTTGCAGCTCGCCAACTGTGGCCCTTGCATGCGTGGGAAGTCGATGCAGCGACGTTTGACGAAACACACGGACTTGATCATTATCAGTGGCGTCAGGTTGTGTCTGGCCCGTCTTTGTGTGCTGTTTGCATCATGCCAAAATGTATCTGCAACACCACCTGGTTTGATTCACACAAGAAGCTTACAAAACATTTAATCCGAACCTTTTGAATGTATGGATTCATGGGATTAGAACTCACGCTAAGCAGTGCTTATCGTGTGAGTCCTGGCCCCTATCATCCGATCGAGCAATTCCATGTCAACGGCAGAATTTTTGGCAAAAGTTTAACGTGCCGCGAAGATAATCACGGTCCGTCCTACCCACTGACGTCACCTGACCTTTGCGCGGCTGCTGCCACCCGCCGCAGGCCATATTTGTCAACGGTAAATAGTGATCGCCGAAAGCGACCCAAAACCAACCCGCCACGGGCGGGTGGATTGGAAGGCAGGTGCTTTAACCACCTGAGCTATCGGAAAAAAACAAATAAGCTCAGTGTATTCATGACAAGCAAAGATGAGCTCCGCTTTAGAGGCCGATGTCGTTGATTTTCCCATTCGTCTCACCTTGCACCTGTGGCTGACGTCAAGTTTAACTTAGTTTGACCCAAGCTATCGCCGATTAGTGACTGCTATGCCATAACATGTATGTGATATAAATTCATGGTTGCCTAGTGTGATGTTGACTGCCTGCGTAGATATGTAAACGGATTTGTATCGTACGTTGCCTGTTGTCATGGTCAATCCATGCTATAATCCACGCCATGCATGCTATTGCCAATCCATGCAATCCATGTTATCCATGCTATAAGTTTTGAGTAGCGGCTTTGGCTGATACTAAGCTACTTAACCTATGGCTGCGACCACCAGGCCATCATCAGATCTGCACGCAGAAATACTATATTCCGCAAATCTCGGGGACTGTTGATGTCACTGGAAGCAAAGGTAGCAAGATCACTTTAACTTCCCCGGCATACAGTTCTTACGGACCGCAGAGCGGCTGTGAGCATCACTGTGGGCGTTTTCGGGGGCTTAGGCTGATGTGACCTTAACCTTTGATGACCGGCACATTGAGGCTGACACGCCTCAACCTTGTTCGAAATGTTTCATTGAAAGCTCAGTGCAATATTCAATCTTTGATCCCATGTTACCTTGGTCTCTGTTCGACTCAGGGAAGTCGTTGCGGTATAGAAATAACATTCCTGTCGTCGTCAAAGGGGTTGTTCCACATTTGTATGTGGTTTCCAACTGAGATAGTCATTTTGATGATCATTCCGTGCAGTTCACAGTCCTGCTCTTCTTAAGACCCAAAACTATTTAGTTTCGGGGTCACACGCCCACGAAGATGTGCACGCCATTTCGTGCAGACCGTTTCAAGGTCATTGGGGACATGCATGACGCCGTAGAAACATCACTCAAATTTTTCTTCCTCGTATGTCATATGGCGTTGTTCAAGGTCCAAAAAGACTATTGGCGTCGAGCCGTTCAGATATGGCATTCGTTAGCGCGATATCCAGGGAGAGCGGACGTCAATTGGCTCTCAATCAGATTGTTGAGCAGGCTGTGCAAATTTTAGACACGACCCATATTTTGTGCTACATGGCATAAGGAGTTGAACTTGGTTGCTGGCTTTTGTGGAAAGAAGATTTGTAATCGAATACAAAAGGTGCGACACCCGAGTATGCAAATATAAGTAAACATATTAAACTCGCAAATAAATATGCAAGAACACAGCGAGAAAGAAGAAAAATAAGAGCACATAATGACATTTGGCTCATCAAACACTTCCACCGACTCAACGGGGAACTCTCGGAAGATTAAAGTACAAGTGAGTGCTTAAGTGGCAATTTGGCACGGCAAGTTTGGCGGCACCTCGACGTCACACAAACGTTCCATGACGTAATAAAATAATGATGTATGAGAAGCACGTTTACTATGTAGAAAATTTCTGCTGTCTAGTGCAGTCTTTTCCACTTAAAAGTATATTTACTTATACAAAAACCATAAGAAGTACTTTAAAAGTATAAGAAGTATTGCTCACACTTAAAAGAATAAGTGAGCTTGTTTCGTCATAGCTGATGCTTGCTTGAATATCTTCAAATGTGGAACATTTCCTTTATTGATAACCTGGTCGTATGGAAGCCTTCACTTTCAGAAACACTGGGCAAGGGTACGTCTAATGCGTTTTCGATGTCGGTTGTCTTCTTGTACTCATATCAATATGTGTTGGCTGTTTTCCCGTTCGAAGATTTTGAGCAGTTCAATGTTATAAAACGGTATGTTTTTCACTCCATTATGCTATTTCTCGCTAGGAAAGTCATGAAAATGGTCTTCATATAACAAGCAGAGCTAAGAAGAAAAATACAAACATTCACGCGCGATCAACTACAATGCTTCTCTCTCACTGCACCTCCTCCTTTCTCACACCCAAACGGGCACCGACATGCAAACCTATGCACGCTTGCACGTATACGCAGACACCTATAGTCATCGCCTTCCAGTGGCGAACTCCATACCGGGCTTGGACTACGCCGTCGTAGGCCTTATTCGTCATTTGAACTCCGCTCGCTCGAAAGTATCCCGCCGCGTGATTCTGAAAATCACGTGTGGCTCCGGCGATCAGTTGGAAATATTATCTGCATTGTTGGCTCATAAAAAGTATGACGGCCGTGATAGGCTGCACTCGTTGAAAAATATATTTGTATATAAGACTCTCTGGGATATGGTCCCGCTCGCCATAGGTGCAAAATAGCTGTGCGTCGGTATATATGGCTTAAAAACGAAATGATCTGAGCCCATTTTCTTTTTTGTGCATGCACATGTCTTCCTGTGATATGTTTTCAGCCTTCCCATTGTTTTTTTATTTATCGGACGGCAAATATAAAAACCGTATTTTTTTGCCTCTGTCAAGGTCCCGAAATCGAGTGGTAGTAAAAAATAGCTGAAAAAATGCTGAGCTTCTGACAAATGAACGTCATCAGGAAGTCGTAGTCTTCTAAATTTTTAATTTGATCGATCACCGCATCAATGCTGTGCCTGGCCTACTGCCGATGCTGGTGCGGTGACCCTGACCTCTGACCCGTCCTCCGTGCCCCCAGGCCATCCGATGACCCGGCAGCAATGCGTTGTGTTCTGGCTCTCTGGCATCGTCAACTTCGGCGTATCGGCGAGCGTGGCTACCATGGCGCCCTTCTTCCCGCTGGAGGTGCGTTCTTCGTGCTGGTGCTTTCATGGCAGGTGCAGGTGTCTGGTGCTCTGGCGCTGTCTCGTACGCGTGCAGCCAGAGGCTGACTGAGGGAACCATAGCTCTCCTTTGTCGCAATTTAGGAGCCCGTTCCAGCTCTGGGAAGAGACAATCGTAACCTCAGAAAAGCGCGTCTCAGGTCTGAAAAGGCATATTTTTCATCGTTATTGCGGTGCTTTGCGTCTGGTGGCAGCGTCTGTGTAAAAAAGTCGGGTGACGACAGAGAACAGGATGTACTTTGCCAACCATTGCGCCACGTTAAGATTTTAAGAAAAAATTATCCCATGACATGCCATGCCAATTAAAAAATCCCCATCTGGGGTCCAAAAACACGTCATACCAGTGCCGGAGAGCTCCTTTGTAACTACTCCATTCAGTGGATTCCGAACGGTGTATCCTGCAACACTATATTGGGCACAAAAAGCAAGAGGAACCCAGGCATAATTAGAGTTACATCCATCAGAATGTGCCTGGCTTAACTTCCTGACCTTGACCTGACCTCCAGCGGGACAGGAAAACCTGCGGACCAAACTGCCACCGCAGCATGACCTGACCTTGACCTGACCTCTGACTGAACAGGCAGAGCGGATAGGGCACGACGGCCACCGCGGCATGGCCTGACCTTGACCTGACCTCTGACTGAACAGGCGGAGCGGACGCGGCATGACGGCCACCACGGCGTCGCTGGTGTTTGGCGTGTACTCGGTGGCGGCCCTGCTCACTTCACCCTTCATGACCCGCCTGGTGAGTAGCGGAACGCCTCGGGGCTCACCCCGGCGCTGGGTGCCGCCCAGCCGATCAGCACCGAACAACGCTGGTGGAAACGAGGGCTGGTGACCGGTCACCTGTCGCGCAGTCGTGCTGCGCTGCCTTCAGCAGATCACAGATCCTTCATCTGCGGGTGAACATGGTCTCGGTGACTGGCGCTGGTCACTGCATTCCGTTTTCAAGAGCCGCTCAGGCCGGCTCCGATGGGCTGTGGCCGTCAGAAGGTCTCAGACGGCGGTGGGCTGGGGAGCCTCAGCAGCGATCTCTGGTCCGGCTGGTGGTCCGGAAACTCCGGTACCCCAAACTGGAACGGCGCGACATTTCGCAGGGTGTAAATCAGCCCACCCAGCCTAGCCTACACCTAGCAATGCGTTTCATACACTTGGGATGCCGCGTCGGATATTTGTAATGGTCGCCTTGAACAGAGTCGCAGCAACAGTCCGCAATTATCAGCAGCCTATCGCCATTCCCGTTTGTGCGTCGACGAAGTGTTGTGGAGAGCTTGCCGTCTTGGATGGAACTATCCTTCCCTCCCGTTCTGCCCATCCTCCCTCGATCAACGAAATTTCAGAGCACGTGGCGCCCCAGGAAAGCGATGACACTCCCTAGACGATTTGGAGTCGCCATAAGACAGGCCTGTGCTACCGCCTGGTATTGGAGCACACAAACGACCGACATGGCTCTATGCGAGAGAGCAACTGGAAAAACACTCTGTCACTATACGAGTGCGATATTGTAACGGCGATGACTGTGACAAGGGGATGGAATGCGGACGACAAGGTGAGGTATGCAGGATGTTGGCTGTGGTCATTTGGGCGGTAGGTACACCCAAGTTGTTATCAAAATCACACTCTTGTTCTCCTGTATTATTTGTGGCGTAATATGTAGAAACGCATTGCATTGAAGTAAAAACGTTGATAATGAATGACAGCATGACATCGCTATTTAAGATGCTGTCGTCATGTCTGCTGGGTACTCAGCCTTGTTCCATCTTTTCTTGACCAATAATAGAAGATACTGCTTCTTTAAACTGCTTGCTATGTTCACAGGTACCGTATGTGGGACCGAAAAACGTCTTCTTGGCCGGATCTTTCTTGGTGGGCACCGGCAACATTGCCTTCGGGTAAGGAAGATGGCACTTGCGCTTGCAGCATTGCCTCCGGGAAAGACCTGCAACATTGTCTTTAGGTCATAGATTGAGCTGACGACTGTCTTTAATACGGATTTAGTGTAGAGTAGGCAAAATGGCATGTTTACAGTAGGGTTGTGAAGTAAAGCACATATATGAAACGTTACTCGCTGCAAACACAGGCATTGCACATAATCTAATGAGCATGGGATGTTCGTAGACTGTCTCTCGGCAGCTGTAACTTCCGTTAACACGAAACCATAAATGTTGGATACACTGACCGGCCTCCTGTTTGGCTACACCCTGCGACGTGTCGTTATGGTGCACCCCATCCCTGCTGCTGTGATGTGCCACACTCCTATTGTTGGGATTCACGACACTTCTGTCGTTATGATGCATCTCACCCCTGTCGTTATGATGCGCCGCGCTCCATTCGTTATGATGCATCTCACCCCTGTCGTTATGATGCGTCTCACTCCTGCAGTTATGATGCGCCGCGCTCCATTCGTTATGATGCATCTCACCCCTGTCGTTATGATGCGTCTCACTCCTGCATTTATTATGCGCAGCGCTCCATTCGTTATGATGCATCTCACCCCCGTCGTTATGATGCGTCTCACTCCTGCAGTTATGATGCGCCGCACTCCATTCGTTATGATGCGTCTCGCCCCCTTCGTTATGATACGTCTCACTCCTGTCGTTACGATGCATCTCACCCCTGTCGTTATGATGCGTCCCACTCCTGTCGTTATGATGCATCTCACCCCTGTCGTTATGATGCGTCTCACTCCTGTCGTTTTGATGCATTTCACCCCTGTCGTTATGATGCGTCTCACTCCTGTCGTTATGATGCATCTCACCCGTCGTTATGATGCGTCTCACTCCTACAGTTATGATGCGCCGCGCTCCATTCGTTATGCTGCGTCTCACCCCTGTCCTTATGATGCGTCTCACCCCTGTCGTTATGATGCGCTGCGCTCCATTCGCTGCAATTTCCCACACCCTTGTTGTTGGAACGCGCCACACTTCTGCCGTTGGGACGCGCCGCACCCCTGTCGCTGTAATGCGCCGCACTCCTTTCGTTGTGATGCACCCCCTGTCGCTGTGATGGGACGAACCATTGTGGTGATGCGCTGCACCCTTGTCACCGTGATGCGCTACACCCCTGCCGTTGTGATGTGCTGCACCTGTCGTTATGACGAGTGGCACCCCTGTCTTTGTGATGCACCGCAGTGCCCCCCCCCCCTTCTCGCTGTCATGTGACAACCCTGTTGTGATGCGCCGCACCCCTATCGTTACGGTCCCTGAGCAGGCATACGTGATCGCCGTTCCCTGACCAGGCAGACCTGATCACCGTTCCCTGACCAGGCAGACCTGATCGCCGTTCCCTGACCGGGCAGACCTGATCACCGCTCCCTAACCAGGCAGACCTGATCGCCGCTTCCTGACCAGGCAGACCTGATGCCGCTCCCTGACCGGGCATGCGTGATCGCCGTTCCCTGACCAGGCAGACCTGATCACCGCTCCCTGACCAGGCAGACCTGATCACCGCTCCCTAACCAGGCAGACCTGATCGCCGTTCCCTGACCGGGCATACGTGATCGCCGTTCCCTGACCAGGCAGACCTGGTCGCCGTTCCCTGACTGGACATATGTGATCGCCGTTCCCTGACCAGGCAGACCTGTGACCTGTGACCTTCACTTCCCTTCGATCGGCAGGTCTCTGGCGTACGTCCACGACCTCCAGTTGTTTACCATCTACTGCTTCGTCACCCGCGTGCTGATGGGCACAGGATCGGCAGCCAACATCACGGCCACCTACACCTACGTCTCGAGCACGTTCTCCGGTGGGTTAGGTTCTCAGACTGCTGGTAGATGGGCGTGGTCTGAACGGTGAGAGGTCACGGACGCGGCCGGAATCGTGGAAAGCTTCTGGCGGACAGGGCGTGACGCATCACGAGCGCGGTCAAAATGATCAACGACAACGGGTTAGGTCGGGTAATACCATCCGAACATGACATTACAGCCTCGCGTATCCTAGACAGTTCGGGAGTTTTGGCTCGATATCCACCCATCAGCTCTTCAAATCCGCAGTGCAGGAAGGTTGGCTTTGGCTGGCAAAGTTTGAGGATAACAACCCTTATGCCGCTGATTTGAGTCTGCAGGTTAATGTTCTGGCTTGTAGGAAAGCAGTACAGAAATAATCGTGTCCTGCAAAATCAAACTTTCTTCATTAAAAGGAATGTTCCACACTGGACGATGCTGAGGCAGACATTTAATACCACGAGACAAGCTCACACAAAACTATTGGTATACTTGTAAATGGAAAAACTGCTTTAGACGAGGCAGTTTCCCTATTAAGTAAATATAGTTTTCAATACATCATTGTTTGATTGCGTCATCCTGCCTTGCACAACTTTGATTGGAAGCCAATTGACGGCTGTTATATCTGGAAATCGCGCTCACAAACACCAGATACGACCGACTCGACGATTATTTTGTCTTGGCCTTCATCGCGCATGGTCAATGGAATGGTAAGATCTGAACGACGTTGCTATGGCGTCATCGATAACTGGGTGGCCTTGAAGTAGTGTGCACGAAGTAGTCTGCACATTTTCGCGGTCGTGTAGCTCAGAAGCTAAAGGGGCTAAGGTATTAAGAACGGCAGGGCTGTAAACTGCACCGAATGATCTTCAAGATGGCTATTTCGGCTCAAACCCCTTACAAGTGCTGAGCACACCTGCAACTAAATCCAATTTGAAATATTTGATTGCACTGCACAACTAAGGTTAGGAGTCAGATTTGGAACCCCAGCTCAACTCGCTTGTCTGCCCTAACATCCTTACATCCTTGGGTTTGGAGTCCATGCTCAGCTCGCTTTTCTAAACCAGCCTCCTTGCATTTTTCCCTCACGTCTGCTCTTTCTGTGCCACCTAATTTGTTTTCTGATTTGTCATGCATAACGACCGGCATGACAATAGCCAAAGGTGTATTTGTGCCCAGATATGTCGAAGTAACCAAAAATAGCATCGTTCAATAAATGAGCGTATTTCAAAGATTTTACACCAGATTGCTGTCCAGAGCAAAATGCCCAGTGCCTCGCCCCTCCTTGGTGAAAACGATACGTCGTGTGAAACCCCTACCTCGCATTACATCATCATCTCGTGCTGAAATCATCCAGCAAAATCATGACCCAGTGATGACGTCATACAATTACCTAATCACCTAACCCGGTTACCTTGCAGACCCTGAAATTGGGGGGGGGGGGATTTAAAATAATACGATAGGACGTAAGCCTTACTGGAACAGCGCTGACGGCAGTGATGCTCTGCGATCGCGGTCTCGCGTGACGCCATTTGCCCGTGCTGACGTCACGATCGCCACCTTGTGGCGCGACCGAAACACCTTGTTGCATCGCCACCCCGCATGATGAGGCCTTTCATTTGCAGCGAACATAGCGGCGACGGTGGGCATGCTTGAGGTGTTCACGGCACTGGGCACGTGCGCCGGCCCTGCCCTCGGCGGTCTGCTGTTTGCCGTGAGTTGTGGTGACCTGTGGACTGCTGTCTGCCGTGAATTATTAGGATTCGGTTGGCTGCTGTCTGCCGTGAGTTGTGGTGATCTGTGGACTGCTGTCTGACGTGAGCTATTACGACTCGGTTGGCTGCTGTTTGCCGTGAGTTGTGGTGGCCTGTGGACTGCTGTCTGCCGTGCGTTATTATGACTCGGTTGGCTGCCGTCTTCCATGATACGTGTTGACTCATTGCACGTGGTCTGCCATGAGTTTGCAAGCCTCGAAGTCGCGAATCGTCAAAAACACCCGCAACACATAACACCGCCTCGTCCCGCTGCTGTAACCACCAACTGACATGTTCAGACAGCTCGGGAGGGAAAAGCGAAAAAGTACAGCGTGCTTCACTGGAAATGCCAATTCCAAAAACCCTGTGATAGACATAGAAACACTTATTGACATATCTTTTTATCACAGATCTTTGAACATTCAGACGTCTTTATCTTTATAGTTGGTGTCGATCTCCCCAGCATAAAATCTCTACCACATCCTCTTGAACATAAACGTACTCCTCCACATTCTGTAATGCCCGGCACCTGCTAGTGTTTTGTAAATGGCTGTGTTTAGCCGCTGAGCGCTGGGACGAGGCATCTCAATAAAAGGTTTCCCAGACCACCATAGCACGTCAAAGACCCAACACTGATCTGAATGCCGGACAAGTTGCAGCAATACTTGCCAGATAGAGCGTGCGGGAGATATTTTGGATTCCTTGCTTGCACGTTTGAAATTGACAAAACGCCATGTCTACAAGAGTTGGGCAGGCACTGGCTCTGACTCTACGGATGTTTTCCATCTATGACCAACAAGGGGTCTCAGAGGCCTCGTTGATATCGCGGAAACTAAGCAGTCTAGAGCTATGGGAAAACGGTGTCGGATAGCTCTTATCAAGCTTTATCAGCTAAACGGAACTGAACAACATTGGGTGGGAGTTTTCTGACATGTCAAATCAGATCATAGGAGCTAAGTTCTCACGGGTTCATGCCTGTTAAAATTGAGCTGTCTCCCGTTGTTTCAAGAACTAAGCATGAACTGCGGCAATGAAATGAATGAAAACGACGCTGAATGCTATTGAAAAATCGATCGGATGGGTACTGGTGGAAATCGACGGGTGTGATCTTTGTTGCGGCACGGCGGGTCGAAGGGGTGAGGCCACTTTTGTACATTTATGTACATTAAGACCAGGTATTCATGTACATTAAGACCCAAACAAGTCACATCACTAGGGAGAGCAGAGCAGAAACAGCGTTACAAGCAGCGTCAGTTTAATTACACAAAAGTGCGGTTAAGTTTTAAATTGCACGATCTTGAAAAGGCCAGATCCAGTCACAAAGGTCGAAATTTCTCCTAGCTGACAATTGGATGATGTGACCTCTGAAAAAAGCATCATTAAGAGCAGCAATGCTTCTGAGAGTGATGCAGTTTCGAAAACCATATTGAAACGAGAATAATAAGGTTGTTTGTTCACTTAGAGTACAATCTCGCCGACATTAACTATAGATGAATTTATAGATTATAAACGGTGAAGGTCGGAAAGCTCAATTTTTTCGTCATGCGTAACCAAAAAGCTTGTAAATTGTATGCATGTATATATGGAAACTCAGTTACAGAAAATTACACTATTTACACTATTCAGAACTCACAAGGCCTGAGGAGCAGCCCCTGAAGCTCCCTGTCGTAGGGCGAAGAAAGGCTCTAACGAGAGTGAGGAAGCCAGTTGTGCTCGTCAGGGGCAAAACAATGCTCCAGCTTGCATACGTTGTATTGATCATGCATTCACGGGTGATTTGACAGTGTCTTGCAAACATATGTCGCTGTGCACGACGTCTGATGTCGCGCAAAAATATCTAGGTTCGCATTTTAATTTCACATCTTTACTCGTTTTGAATATCATCTGTTAAGCGCTCTATTTTCATCTAGTCTGGTGATGCGTGTCGTGTGTCGTGTGTCGTGTGTCGGCATGTTGGCTATTTCAGCATGAGGTTGATCCAGAGAACTAATGATCGGTTTTCCTTTGTTTTCAGGCTGGAGGATACAGCATCCCGTTTTATAGCGTTGGATTGTTCCTGCTTATATTGCTCCCCATAAATGTGCGCGCTATGCCGCAAATCAAAGGTAAATACTTATTTTTTAGTGTAAAACAGCGCGTCATATACACATGTCACCATCGGTGACTTTTTAGGTGGGGACTGTCCGCTTACATCCCGGTATAGGTGCCAATGATAAGATCTTTGATTGATCACAGCTCGACACCATTTTTTAACAACACAAGGTGTATGCTGCGAGCAGCTTGAAAGCGCTCTGCACCTATGACTTAAAAAATAAAGGTTAATCTTAGATCATCATACTGGAAGGCCGGCCAGCCGCGCCGGCTACGGATCTGCCGCGCTCAATCCAAAGTGCTAAAATATTTTACACTGTATGATGATGTTGTAGAACAATTCAGAAATAATAAAAAGCTTAACTGTATGATAAATGCCCATTGGCTCGTCCATGGTGCCTCACGCTGCGTGGATGATGCTGTCAGCTTTTTTAAAATAATTTACTGCATGACACTACCTGTCAAACACCCGGAGTTCTCAGCGACCCTTGTGGATAAACTCAGTGGAGAGGTCTGATCATGGGCGAGGCTGCATGTCGAACAGGTAATAGCGTCAACTAACCAGACCTTCAGAGCCCCAACGGCCGGCCGCGGTTTTTAACGGCGTATACTTTTGCAGCGACCGATCACACACCATGCAGTGATTTCGTATCAAAAGGGGTCTCCGCAAATTGTGAAATTATCGACATTCGATTACGATGAGAACCATAGAGCTTGTATAAGCCCTCCAGTCGGCCTTGCCGTTCATGTTGAACCCCAGAACTCAGAGTATGAGGTCTTATCAACGAAATCGCCAACACTTGTAACTAACAGCGATGGCTTGGGCTTACAGCACACAACAAATTTGAGGACCAAAAGCAATTTCGTGAACATTATGCATTGAACAGAGGTCTTGCCATCTGTACACATGCACTCCGTATGCCGGAAACCGCTTCCTGTCAAGGCAATACGTTGTTGATTCATCCAAGGCTTGGTTAACGCTGATGACTATGGTTCAGGTGATATGAACTTTGTTTGCATATTTTTTCGTAACAGTAGGAACTTAGCCATGCAAAGGGACACACCGCTAAATTTCTGTGTTGTTACAAAGTCACTTCTGTTGCCCTCTGCTTTTTAAGTTAAGTCGGTCGCTTATTAACCATTTTATAAAGTTATCTGAGTATTTGGCCACGGTCTGGTGGCACACCTTCAGTATCCTAAAAAACCTGCACAAGGTTAGTTTCGCAGAAACGTTTTCAAAAAAGCTCGCCTAGCCTGCCTTAGCTTAGCCCGTTTCTGGTATTGCGATGTGCGCGCCGCTGTGACTCAAAGCCCACAGAGACGAACGCAGGCCCTGGTGAATCAGGTTTTTAGAGCTGGGGTAGAGCGAAGTTCGCTTGCACATAGAGCTGCAGTCAGGGTGGTATAGTCATGTATAAATCTCGTGTCATTCACTTCAACCTTCTTCTTTGGTTAAATGGCTTAATCGGAAGTGATTCAAGAACCTAGATAAATCAGGGGAACAAAACCTAAGAGGCATATGCAATTGAATAAGCCTTTTTCCATTATTCTGGATTTTGGACTGGGTGAAATCGCAACCTGAAAACTACGTTAGCAAAAGTCAGAGGTCCGTTGCATTTTAGAATTGCTCGTGATCAAGATAACTGGCCAAAGTCCCCTTTTCATGGCTAACCCCCCCCCCCTCTCCCCGAGGCTAAATTGTTTACGTTGATCGGCTATTCGATTTTGCGATTAGGCGAATGAGAATATCAGTTATTTGTCCGTAGGTAACAAACGGAATGCTGCGTAGGGGATCTGCCACAAAACTTGCGTCATGTTTGGTGGCAAATGTCGTTAGCAAAAGTGAGTGCGTGTTGTGCTCTGACATTAGGCTATCAGACGTTAGACCACATGTTTAGAGCCCAATCCTGGTGACGCCCGCATCTTGTGTTTCAGCGCTGTCAACATCCTCTCCATCGTGTCGCCACGTGTTAACGCTACTTCCCCGTGTACGTGGTGCTGGGCGCCGTCGCCATGGCAACCATGATGATTGGCTTCACAGAGGCGACTCTGGCGCAGCATTTGGCCAGCAGGGTAAGCGCGGCCCGTGTGCGGCAGAGATAAACCATGCGGCGTAATCGTCGCGCGGGGAAACTGCACCAGCTGCCGGATATCGTCAGCAAGTTGCATGAAAGCATGAAACTATCAGCTCTGGCGCTTGTTACACAATAACCGACCGTGAAGGTAACCGGACGGAAGTTTTTAAAACGGTGAACCGCAGCTGCGCTCAGGCTGCTCGAGAGAGATAGTCTGGTATAGAGCACACTGGCGTGGCCCAATTCCAGCCTCTTTGGGAGACAGACGGATCAGCCGCGCGCAAATGGTTAGAGGCCGCGGTATATAGGGGTTGAATGCAGACATGAGACGGCCACCGAAGCTTGCTGTGTTCAGCGTTTGTTTTTTTACTTCGCTTTTATCTTCATGTTTTGCATTTTTAAGATGTTTTGGGAAGTAAAGCGATTGTGTTAAAGTTACGATTATTCTGCAGTACACACAACGCATCACAATAACGTGACAATTGATGTGGCACGAAATATGAGAGGCGATAACACGGGAGAGATCCGCCAATTTTGAACAGTGCTAGATGATTCCAAAACCCAACAAATGAGACCTAGGCACCCTCCAAACCATACCAATGGTTCTGACCAAAGCACTGAAAGGTCCGCCATCTTTGAGAGTTGACCAGGATTTATGATAGTTCAGGTGGCGGAGATGCATTGACACTGGCATGGCGTTTGAAAACTTATTTACAATCTATGTCGCCTGAAAGTTGCATGCCCATGTACGACAAATTTGCAACAATGGACGCCTTTTGCGATTGTGATCAACTATTTAAAAAACGAATTCCCTGGCGAATGTCAATAGCAGAGAAGATTGCTACGCACTCATGCAGTTTCAAGGCTCGATTTAGTCCACTGTAGACCACAACGTGGTGGATTTGATGATGATTTCCATACACATAGTTTCCCCCGCTGGCCGGTCGTTGGCTGACGCAGCTGTGGGTCGGACGAGCTCACCGTGGCTCAGTGATTTGTTAGAGTGTAATGGTTTGTTGTCCTTGGTCTTCTTGATGTTTTCACGCTCGGCAGTTGGTGTTACGTCACCCTGTGATTTGGCAGCCGGCGTATGAAATCCCTCTTCAAAAGCTGTCCTTGATTCGATGGACCCATAGTCTTCTCTCGCGCGCGTATGATCGACTGGGACCGAGGGCGCATCGGCGCACACTTCCGCCGCGGCGGTTTCCTGTTCGCCTTTGGCAAAAGTCTGCGAATCCTGTTGGACTACCTTGCCGAGTTGTGTAAATATGAATTCAGTTGCTTTCTATATGCGCATATTTTTGCGCTTCGCGAGTTTAGCATTGTTTATAGTGAATCGCAATGGACTGAGAGCTAATATTTTCTTCACACTGCAGTGTTGCAGAGAAAAAACCTTGGCCAAATAACTTTCATGCACTGCCTTGAAGTTACGCGGCGAAATCTGCAAGAAATTACAAATCTTGTTGTTGAGAACTGCAGAAGTCTTCCACCAAGAATTTAAAACAAACAGTAGGCCAGAAAGCGCGAGGGCTGGTCCGAAATAAGCGGGGCGCAAGAGTTGAAATGTTTGTTACTGTCCATATACATACATACATATATATATATATATATATATATATATATATATATATATATATATATATATATAGCTTTTTAAGTGGCAAACCTGAGACCTCCGCCACTGACGCCCTATGCCTAAATTCGTCTTTAAAATTCGATCACTTTGCCGGTTACGAATGAGATTATCCATTGAAGCACATCGACAGTTGGCATTTCAGAGATGTAAGTGTACATACCATCTGACGATAAAACCTGCAGATGGCAGGTGGCCATTCTCCAGGGAGCTGATGTGCTGACCTGAGTACGGTCCTCGTGAAGCGCTGTTGTCTTAGATGGTTATGTGCGTCTGGCTTAGGTTAGAGCTTCTTCGGTCCATAAACTCTATTTCATTGCTTCTGTTTTGGCGATGGGGAAAACTTCAGTCACCCTGCCTTAGAAGCAGGCTCGAAATCTCAAACAAAACTGTCTGCAGTACCCAGCACAGCAAGACTCGCAATAACGCGAGATCTTGCGTCAAGTAGACGAAACACGGTACTTCCACGAAGTGGCAGCCTTTTGCCAGTTGTCAACTGTTGCGAGCTGCGTGCGAAGTCCAGGCTAGTCGTGGATTTCCGGTGAACAAACACTAGGCAGGGCCAGCGCTTTCACTCAGCGTTAACTCTTGCTAAGGTGTGGACGTTCGGAAATTGTATCTAATCTCTAGAGTAGCCAAAGCGCAACGCCTCGATTACTATCTCGCTGATGCTTCGGCTGCTATCTCTCTGATGCTTCGGTCAATATCTACGCTTAATACCTCCAGCTCTCTGCACGTCAGCCTGCTTGCAAAGCCTAGGATGGGACCCGTGATATGTGTCGCTGATGGTTAAGGTTCGGGGCATGCAGTTTAGGCAAGAGGCCTCCGATTCTGACATAACACTATCAAGGTGGTTCCCATGAAGGGGCTCGGTAACACAACGAGGAGGCGGCACATCTGTCTTATTTTTCGCAGCACGAATGCAAAATCCCAGAAAAGAGAGATGAAGCCGACCGTAAATTTACGTTGCGCATCGTGGCGCTCTTTCATCCCCTCCCTCTGGTTACGCACTGGTTACGCCAGGTGAGAACCCCTCGCACTGGTACACCATGAACACATTTTCAGATTTCAGCGTGAATTCCAATCACAAAATAACAAACAAACCAACAGGCACTGTCCAGAACAACGTACTTTCATGGTATGCTTTGGTCATAATACATCAAATCCCCCGTACCCCCTCCACGCGTGACGTAACCCATGGGCGGCGCCAAGGAAGCCTGTGCAAGATATTCGATCAATCACGAACGGAAATCCATTCGATTCAACAGGCATTGGCACCCGATGATATTTGCACTGTAATTGATCGCCGATCAAGGCCGCATCCACAGTCGCCCCATGTGCGCTGGGAGCACACCAGCGTCTTAGCGTCGCCTTGATCAGTTGCATGCTGACGCCGCCCAGGACAGTCCCATGTCAGCGTGAGTGCCACGATATGAGATATCTGTATCGGTATCGGTGTCAATCAGCGACCTGTCAAGGGTTGCTTGACGCATAACTGAAAGACGGCACGCCGCTGTGACTGCAGCGGCGCTGTTGTTCGCACAGCAGGCTCACTTCATTTCCGTCCGTCATGTCGGGCGTGTGGTTGTGTTCGCAGTCCCCAGGTGTCAGGCGTGTCAAGCGTGTCATGCGAGCGAAAACGAGTTTACGCCCGCCTCATACCGGACGGACGGATGTGGGGGCTTGCGTCCCCCAGACGTGCCTCGGTGAGCCGACTTGTCATGCTTGGTCAGCTGGCGGCTGGCCGTGAGCGCGCCGTCGGTCGGCACCGGGCGGCCGTGTTATGATGCACGAACGTTCAGCATCTGACGAAACCTCCGTTTTATGGCGTTCAGCGTCTGACGGAACGTCTGTTTCATGGCGTTCAGCGTCTGACGGAACGTCTGTTTCATGGCGTTCGGCGTCTGACGGAATCTCTGTTTCGTGGCGTTCAGCATCTAACGGAGCTTCTTTTTTTGTGGCATTCAGCATCTGACGGATCTTCTGTCTTATGGCGTTCAGCATCGGACAGAACCTCTGTTTTATGGCGTTCAGCGTCTGACGGAACGTCTATTTTATGGCGTTTGACGTCTGGCGGAACTTTTGGTCTATGACGTTCAGCGTATGACGGAACTTCTGTTCTTTGGCGTTCAGCGTATGACGGAACCTCTATTTTAGGATGTTTTCCTGCGCCCTTTATGCTCACATGGGTAGTTTTCGTTTTTGATGAGCATTAGGTGGTTTTTAAATCTAGCTCAGTTCAATCAGTTTTCAGGAAATGCGACTTCGACTCTAGGCACTGCAAGTTTGGTCGATCTTTTCGCACAAAGGTCGAATGATGATGAGCCAATCGTAACGCGTGCATTAAATTCCAAGAATCAGCTGTTGGTCAGTGAATGCTTTTATTCAGACCGCATCATGATAACCAAATTACCCTCTGTTCGCTTCGCGCTCAAACTGACCGCGGATCCAGGCGTTCAAAAGCACACTTCTCGGAGACGACGATCCTCACTCAACCCTCCCGATAGATCGACTCCAGCACGTCTAAAATCGATCAGCACCCAGCTGTGACAGACGTCCGTACCACGCAACACATGGTGACGACCGTGACAACGCGGGAACATGGCTGAACCGCAGCCTCTGGCACGGCGCGGTGTACCTCGTGCAGCCTCCTCTCCAGCACGTGCATTGGTCACGGCACACTTCACTCGCATCCACAGAGCCTACTTCAACCTATAGGGTATGATCGTCTCGAAACTTCGCATCACTTTGCAACGTATCTGGCCTTATGAGCCCCCCTTCACTGCCACTCACTCCTTCGCTATTCTGTGAACTGAGACGCACCGCAAACACGTTGATGGCCAGAGAGCCTTCAATGCATTAGGTTATGCTGCCTGGTACCGTTCAAAGCGTCTGTAGTCTGGTTAGACACGTATAAAGAACTGTCATCAGGGGGCCAAATATCAAATGAGTTGGGGGGAGGGGGTGAGCAGTCAAAATGATGCTCCCAAAAGCCAACAAACCGATTTATCCCCGGATTTGGCCCATGTTCTTCATTAAAAACGGGGATGGAGCCTCATAACTGAATAGAAGAACACGCCCCTGAGTGCAAACCTCTTGGCTTACCGGGGGGGGGGGGGAGGGGGGGTCTTCGTGTCCCCCATGGCTACGGCCCTGAATTTGTTGGCAGTAAATGGATACTTTGAATGAGGCTACGACTCGGTCCGAGCAAAAAACCGTAGCCCCCGTCGCAAATGCCGTTATCCCCCCCCCCCCCCCGCCTTACGCAAATATCATTACCCCCCCCCCCTCCCGCCTTTCGCAGATCCCATTATCCCCCTCCCCCGCCTCACGCAAATCCTGGCTGCGTAGCTAATGGCATGTGGTACCTAAATGCGCTTACTTTACTGTACCTGTCACGACCGGTCTCGCCTTTTCTTGTACCTGCTGTAGCAACATTACTACAACGCCTCACGTTATCCCTCGCGAATGCGGCGGGCAACAAAGATGGCGTCGACAACGTTGAGCACGGCGACTATGATGCAGCAGCAGCCCTCGGCGATCAGCTTGCCTTCGCTTGACGAGGATGCGGTGGCGATCTTCCCGCCTGACACGAACACTGTCATGCCGAGGGCGAAGAAGAAGATGCTCCCGACGGCAGAGGTGATCAGCTCCTGTTGCGTCACGCGCGGACAGTGATCATGCGAGATGGAGTGGAGCGAGCGCGACTTAAAAGATTTGTAGGCTTTTATCACTAAAAACTGGGCCCCGGGAACGGATAATCGAGGTGGCGAAAGTAAAGCGTTGCTGCCATTTTTTTCTGAAAATGCCTCATCCGCACAAAATAACACTCTAAATGCGCGGTGATCCCGCAGCACGCTTTTTGCGGGATCATCCGGCGCAATGAGGTCCACGTGTGAAATATACCAGATGTAAACAAAAAGAACCTGAGCTGCTGGTTTTTCGGCAAAACGAGTTTGAAGTTCCTATACTGGCAACGATCGACTTTCAAAAAACCAGGAGGCACTGTTAAAGACTCGCTCAGGGTCCAACAGCGGGTCCAAGTCAGGCGGAGGCTATAAGTAAAAGTGATTCCGGGAACTTGTTGAATCTGGTCTTACAACGGAGTGTTAGAAGGAGCTATGCGTCGATGAAAAAGCTTTTTAGAAAATTGGTCAATTGAATTTAGGAGTACAACAAATTTCATTGAACTTGTAGTTTCTTGGGGATTGGTTTGTTGAATTTAGGAGTACAAAAAAGTCATCGAACTTGGGCCAGGTATAAAGGTGAAACAGTGGTCAAATCCAGATTGCCTTTTGACTTGAGACCGTGCTTCACGGGGTAGTTTCTAATGCTCATTTCGAATTTTTGATAACCGGGGCGCCCACAGACATCTTCCCCGGACTTCTTACAGGTCAGAGGAAGCTACTGCCTTAAAATGACCCAGAGTATCTTGCATTTTTGGAATATACCACCTAGCATAAAATATAGATGCCGCATAGCATAAACTGAACACCAGTGACCATTTGCTTACAAGAGGCGATTCCAAGTGGTTGCATGAGGGGGTCTGGGGGCATTTTGGATACCAATCTAGAGTTTTATGCTGTTTTACCTTACTTAGCCCGAAAGTCATAACCGTCGGTGGGGTCATGGCATGACCGTCGGTGGGGTCATGACATGACCGTCGGTCGGGTCATGACATGACCGTCGTTCGGGTCATGACATGACCGTCGGTGGGGTCATGAGTGTGGTGTCTCTAAATCTCTAAATTTTGAGATTTCAGAGCTGGTCATATAAACCCCCACACCAGAGCGCGTCCCATTCCACGGGCCACCCGGGCGCGTGTTTAAGAACGTTATGAAGCAGACCTCGGTTACATTGTCAATTACCTTTTCAACACGCGCTCAGGTTGGGGGTTCAACTGAAACCCGAAGGTTATTCCGGAATTCTTTCCGAACGGCATGGCGTAGCCGCGCCCAATTTTACATGGCTGTAGACAATTAAATAGCGGATTGTTTGGCATCAACAACTTAGATTTTTCTTGCAAGGTCACTGACCTATGGCAGGTCAAAGTCAGGCCATGGTTTCACCGAAGGCAATTTTTTGGGAATCGTTCAATCTGATCCAACAACGGAGTGTTAGACGAAGCCATACATCTCTGAGATACTTGCATAGGCAACATAACAATTGAATGAGCAAATTAAATTGACCCAGACTCAGGTATGCAGGTCAGACCAAGGTCAAAACCAACCTGTTTTGTTTCTTTAGCGCATGGTGTATAAGGTATCTTCTGGCGCCCATTTAGAATTTATTGATAACAGGAACCGCATTATACACCTTTCATGGGCTTCTTAAAGGTCACAATAGGTCACTGACCTAAAATGACTTAGGTGATCATTTTGTTTTTAGGAACATACTGCCTAGCGTAATTTTAGTCGCTTATTCAAATGCAAAACTCATTGCAGTCTTGTGTGATTTTGGTCATCATGAACTTCAAAAGGTTAAACAAGGTCACTGATCTTGAATGGGTATGACACGTTTTGTTTAGGACAGTTATATAGTTTCTAGACGTCCTTTGGAGACCATCCTGGAATTTGGCCTTGTTTGACCTTATTCGACCCGAATGTCATGATCTAGGAACACAAAGCTTTGGCCTAAGGGAGTTCATGTACAGGTCAACTCACCCAGCAAACTTGGTGTCTCTAGCTCTCTCAGTTCCTGCGATCTCAGGGGGGGGGGGGCAAATTGACCCCCACTCAAGCGAAGAGTATCCAACGGGCCACCCGGACGCGTGTTAAGATGCGATCACGGCCACAGGTGTGCTCGGGACCGACAGCGCGGCTTGAAACGTCAAGTTTTAAAACTGTGTGATCAGTAGTGTCCTTTTCACAACTTCGTTCAACCTTTGTTTCCTGGTGTACTGAGGGTCGGCTGTTGACAGCATACGAACTCCAAACGGGTATTTTTGAGATACCAAGGGTGACAACTCACTTGTAACATTCGCATTGCCAATACACTGATGCGGCATTAGACCGTTGGTGCTTAGTATACGTAATATGATCTTCGACTGATGAACACCTGGTTATTAAAACCAGTGGGTGTATCATGGACATTACCCTGGATGAATTCGTAGTGTTCTCCTATAAGTATGGAAACTCACGCTCTGACGTTGAGGATTATCAAGATGGTAGCTTTCGGCATTAGCGTGGTTCTAATAGGGGCCTGATCTATTTGCGGCATGACTAATCATATTGCGACAAATCCACAAGACGTTGCATTGCATTGCAGGACACAAGCATTTAGTATCAAGTAGAAAACAGTAAAATCCATTTAAGCCGCTGAATCGTTGCTCGCATAGCAACACCTAAACAGTTGCAGCAACCCACACGAAGCCACAGCGTTTTGTGCAGAGTGACACGACTCGACTGCAGGCATGGCTCATTCGGTTTCAGGCATCAGTGCCCTATTACAACCAGAACTTCTTCATCAGGTCAGCAAAAGTCATTCACCAGACTTACGTATTTAGAAGACTGTGTTGTCGTGTCTTCGATCCAGTAGCACAACACTAGGATGATGTTGTTGACCAGGTAGTACATGCAAATGCCGGCTCCGAAGAAAAAGGCGTGTTTGTCGAGTTGGAGGCAGCTGCCGTCACGTTTTTCGCCAATGCATCTTCCATCCACGCATCCATCGACGATCATGGATGCATTGAAGCACTCTGCGTCTTTTATGGCAGTTACTCCATATCCCGGAAAACTATCCGAGGCTTGTGCGATAGTTATCGTGATCAGCAGCAGGACCTGAAAACAATGCCGGGTCTAGGGATGATCGTTCTTAAGCTGAACATTTTACAACATAAAATCGTGTCACGAGTGGGATAATTCCTCGGGGTGTTCGTCTGGTTTTACTGAGTACGGCAACGACTGGACGACCCACGATATATGATTTTCGCGTCACAGTCCGAATTCTCACATCGGAATTGCCGCGATAGCCACGTTGGACACGTCAGGATTAATCACATTGCCCCCCCCCCCCCCCCATACCAATTCGCGTTACAAAAATTGCATATCAGGGTCAGGATTAAGGCGTAAGACCCTTGCTGTTCGCCTAAGGCGAACCAAAACCCCGTTTGGAAGTTTGTAAGCGGGACAGGCCAGCCAAATAGCTTTCTAGCTATTGTTTAGGTAATGTTCGTCATTTGAGAGAAATAAACAGCTACTAGCAAAGGAGGTACACAAACGATGCTCTCAAGCGACATAAGTGAAACGGAAAATTGCTCACTATTTTGCGGAAAGAATCGAAGTAAATGTCTGGTAGGTCTTTTCTCAGTAAATTTCTGGGCAGCTATTAAAAAGTGGTGGACGTCAACATCCGTTTTCTGAGTCAAAGGTGTGCTACGAAGAGGGGCTTCGTGCAACCCACCTGCTATGGTGGTTGCTTTCTCCAGGTGCACAATTTTACCCGCTCGATTCATCCTGTTTCCAATGAGGAGAATCTCTCCGCCCAGGAAGGCATTTCAGGCGATGGAGGAGGGGGGGGGGGGGGGGGGCATTTGACTCCCCAGATCCCGTTTTAAAAACTGATAAGCTCCGACTGACGTCCGATCCTGGCAGCGGTGATCACGGGCACCTGCAGTGAAACGGCTGCGGTCGCGAAGGAGCTCAAACCGATCGGACGTCGGCGACCGCGAGATTAACTCACGATTTGGGCCTCCTTGACCACTGCCGGCAGCTGATGAAGGTTCCACCGAGACACACTGACCATGGCGACGCGCCAAGCCTCACCGCCGCTTGACCTGCCTCGCGAGCAGTTACGTGGCGGGTCACGCGTCGGAAGATCCTGCCACGCCAAAATCTCACTGTCCGGGTTGCGCGTCGCGCGCCACACCCACGCCGCCCCTGCGCCACGTCTGTCCCCCGCGGCGTTGGACGGCGATAGTGGCGCAGCGCCGGACGCTTGCTGTTGCGATGATCTTGGCGCTGATAACCGTGTATCGGCAGCAGCAGTGAGGGCCGGGCACCGCGAGCTCTTCGACTCTCGAGGCCCACCGCCGGTATCGGGTTGATATCAGCGCCTGATACGGTGCCTGTGGGTTATGAGGTCGGCCGGACGCGCTGTCTGGCCGGTCGCAGCAGGAAGTGTGTCGGCTAGACGTCAGACAATGGTGCAGATGTGAAGGCGACCGGTTTGTATCACCGCCGACTGCCACACCTTGAGGAGCACGAGCTTGCTTTAAAGAGAGTTATCTGAGAGAAAGACCCGCATTTGCAGATATTCCTTATTCCCCCCCGGTTTAATTTTCTTAAACATCCATTAAGCAAAGGTGTTTCACAGATGAGTTACACGTGCCTGCGTACATGGGTTCAGACCAGACCGACACGCCCGTAAAAAACCTGCTGTGGCAGGCTAGCAAACGCAAGCGCAAATAATTATCGCAGTTGACGCGTTGCAAAACCCAATAACTAGCTAACAAGGCTTGCAAACGCTGGGTTCGCAAGGTGGGGTTCCGTCTTCTCTCGGAAAAGCGATGTCTAACGCTCTCCCTGGCTGGGGTACGGTGACGCTCTCCCTGGCTGGGGTACGGTGACGGTCTCCCTGGCTGGGTACGTGACGGTCTCCTCGGCTGGGTACGGTGACGCTCTCCCTGGCTGGGGTACGGTGACGCTCTCCCTGGCTGGGGTACGGTGACGCTCTCCCTGGCTTGGGTACGGTGACGCTCTCCCTGGCTTGGGTACGGTGACGCTCTCCCTAGCTGGGGTACGGTGACGCTCTCCCTGGCTGGGGTACGGTGACGCTCTCCCCGGCTGGGGTACGGTGACGCTCTCCCCGGCTGGGGTACGGTGACGCTCTCCCGGCTGGGGTACGGTGACGCTCTCCCCGGCTGGGGTACGGTGACGCTCTCCCTAGCTGGGGTACGGTGACGCTCTCCCCGGCTGGGGTACGGTGACGCTCTCCCCGGCTGGGGTACGGTGACGCTCTCCCTGGCTGGGGTACGGTGACGCTCTCCCCGGCTGGGGTACGGTGACGCTCTCCCTGGCTGGGGTACGGTGACGCTCTCCCTGGCTGGGGTACGGTGACGCTCTCCCCGGCTGGGGTACGGTGACGCTCTCCCCGGCTGGGGTACGGTGACGCTCTCCCTGGCTGGGGTACGGTGACGCTCTCCCTGGCCTGGGGTACGGTGACGCTCTCCCTAGCTGGGGTACGGTGACGCTCTCCCTGGCTGGGTACGGTGACGCTCTCCCTGGCTGGGGTACGGTGACGCTCTCCCCGGCCTGGGTACGGTGACGCTCTCCCTGGCTGGGTACGGTGACGCTCTCCCTAGCTGGGGTACGGTGACGCTCTCCCCGGCTGGGGTACGGTGACGCTCTCCCCGGCTGGGGTACGGTGACGCTCTCCTGGCTGGGGTACGGTGACGCTCTCCCCGGCTGGGGTACGGTGACGGTCTCCCTGGCCTGGGGTACGGTGACGGTCTCCTCGGCTTGGGTACGGTGACGCCTCTCCCTGGCTGGGGTACGGTGACGCTCTCCCCCCCGGCTGGGGTACGGTGACGCTCTCCCCGGCTGGGGTACGGTGACGCTCTCCCCGGCTGGGGCAACGGTGACGCTCTCCCTAGCTGGGGTACGGTGACGCTCTCCCTGGCTGGGGTACGGTGACGCTCTCCCCGGCTGGGGTACGGTGACGCTCTCCCCCGGCTGGGGTACGGTGACGCTCTCCCCGGCTGGGGTACGGTGACGCTCTCCCCGGCTGGGGTACGGTGACGCTCTCCCTAGCTGGGGTACGGTGACGCTCTCCCCGGCTGGGGTACGGTGACGCTCTCCCCGGCTGGGGTACGGTGACGCTCTCCCCGGCCTGGGTACGGTGACGCTCTCCCCGGCCTGGGTACGGTGACGCTCTCCCTGGCTGGGGTACGGTGACGCTCTCCCCGGCTGGGGTACGGTGACGCTCTCCCTGGCTGGGGTACGGTGACGCTCTCCCCGGCTGGGGTACGGTGACGCTCTCCCTGGCTGGGGTACGGTGACGCTCTCCCCGGCTGGGGTACGGTGACGCTCTCCCTGGCTGGGGTACGGTGACGCTCTCCCCGGCTGGGGTACGGTGACGCTCTCCCCGGCTGGGGTACGGTGACGCTCTCCCCGGCTGGGGTACGGTGACGCTCTCCCCTGGCCGGGGTACGGTGACGCTCTCCCTGGCCTGGGGTACGGTGACGCTCTCCCTAGCTGGGGTACGGTGACGCTCTCCCTGGCTGGGGTACGGTGACGCTCTCCCTGGCTGGGGTACGGTGACGCTCTCCCGGCCTGGGTACGGTGACGCTCTCCCTGGCTGGGGTACGGTGACGCTCTCCCTAGCTGGGGTACGGTGACGCTCTCCCCGGCTGGGGTACGGTGACGCTCTCCCCGGCTGGGGTACGGTGACGCTCTCCCCGGCTGGGGTACGGTGACGCTCTCCCCGGCTGGGGTACGGTGACGCTCTCCCCGGCTGGGGTACGGTGACGCTCTCCCTGGCTGGGGTACGGTGACGCTCTCCCTGGCTGGGGTACGGTGACGCTCTCCCCGGCCTGGGTAGCGGTGACGCTCTCCCCGGCTGGGGTACGGTGACGCTCTCCCCGGCTGCTGGGTACGGTGACGCTCTCCCTGGCTGGGGTACGGTGACGCTCTCCCCGGCTGGGGTACGGTGACGCTCTCCCCGGCTGGGGTACGGTGACGCTCTCCCTGGCTGGGGTACGGTGACGCTCTCCCTAGCTGGGGTACGGTGACGCTCTCCCTGGCTGGGTACGGTGACGCTCTCTCCCCGGCTGGGGTACGGTGACGCTCTCCCTGGCTGGGGTACGGTGACGCTCTCCCTGGCTGGGGTACGGTGACGCTCTCCCCGGCTGGGGTACGGTGACGCTCTCCCTGGCTGGGGTACGGTGACGCTCTCCCCTGGCTGGGGTACGGTGACGCTCTCCCTGGCTGGGGTACGGTGACGCTCTCCCTGGCTGGGGTACGGTGACGGCTCTCCCTAGCTGGGGTACGGTGACGCTCTCCCTAGCTGGGGTACGGTGACGCTCTCCCTAGCTGGGGTACGGTGACGCTGTCCTCAGTTGCAGTATGGATAGCGCATGGCAATACCGCATGGCAATACACTAGCAGTGGCGTAGCTGAGGGATTTTTAGGGCCATTAATGCAAAACGCTTCGGACTTGTACAGAAAACAAAAGCATTGACGTGAATGGATTCGCTGGTATTTGAATGGAATGTTTCCCTTCTCATTTCATGAAATTATTTGTGCTCTTTGCTCCAAGAATTATGTGGTTTTGCCTGATGAGTTCGGGGACTGTATAATGAAAAAATGACGAAGACGTCACCAGAGTACGTCAGCTAACCGTTTTCCTCGAATTTGGCCAACTATATTCTCAAATTCTTAAAGTTGGGGAAGGGATGTAGGGCTGGCACCCAAGATAGGGGAGCTGAAACCATCCTCCTTCCCCCCTCCTACCTCAAGTGAACTGGAAATAACAAACCTGGCTCCAATGTGACATTGGGGCTTTACGACGCACTCAGCTGCTGAGGCTATATGGCGTCGCCTGCCTCTCACCCTGGCAGGAAAGGCGGGCGACCGCGGGGAATGGAACCCCGTACCTGTGGTTTCCCGGACGCGCAGTGGTTGTCACAGGCGCGTTAACCACTACAATATCTGCACCCAAGCCAGGCCCCAGGAGTCAGTGATATTCAACTCATGATAATGAACAGTGGCAGAAGTCCAGCTGCTGCTGTTGATGCTGCCGCTACTGCGGCTGCTGCTGCTGCCCGGAATGGTCCAGATCTCTCGATATCCATGTTAGGCACTGGCTCGAGATCGGTCTGTTGCTGCTCGAAATGCGTCACTGAATCCAGCGTCGTCCGTGGTCGTTTTTCGGCGGGGTGGGTGGCGGAGCGACGGTCAAGCAATGCTCCAGCCGTACATCATGCAACAAATGTGCACCATAACCTACAATGCTTCATGCAACAAACAGGGAATTTCCCATCGACACCTCGTTTTTAACGTTGGCGGCGGACAAGCGCCACCTTGTCTACAGCTAGGGATCAGGGATCAAACGCCACATGCGAAGTCACACGCGTGCATCTGCATGAAAGATGGGAATCCAGCCCAACGATGTCTTGATATACGCCACCTTCATTCTGAATATTCCCGTAAGATATCCTGCTCGGTGTCCTGTGCATTTTTGAAAACTCGCAATATGTCGAATTTGATGTTCTGTGTACTTGTGGAAACTTCTGAACGAGTGGCGTGGTGCCCCACGTGTTCCCGTGTAAGGTATTTCCAAAACTATGTAGAATAAGCTTTACTTTTTGACCCTCATGTCATGCTTTCAAAAGTTCGTAACACTACGCATTTTGTGGAAGACTTTGCATATTGGGAAAGCCCAAGGATGCCCATATGGAATTGTAGCGAGTTGGATCGGAAAAATCACGAACGCGGGCACGTGGATAGGTAAGGCGTTTACGTAATGTCCGGTGGAAACCTCAATAGATATAATACAATGTCACTGCCAGCGCTTCTTCAGCCATGGTTTGTGCTGTTATGAACTTCTGTTATCACTATTTTTGCTATTATGAACGCTTGGTAAGTAGCTTTGGGCGCAAACCTTCCTGTAATTCGTCTATAATTTAGGACTAAAGTCCTGAGAAAGTGTGTGCGAGTGGGTATCCGGGGAGAACAACTGATCTTGAATGGACAGCTGGTGTGTATGCGCCAAGCCTCATGGAAAGAGGATGAATTGAATAGAGAAGACCTTACCCTATAAGGCCTGTGGCATTTCGATTGTCCAGCTCCCAGCACGATGTCCGCTGATTTATTTTTAGTTACGTCGCATGTCCCAAACGCTTGTTTTTCCAGTTGCTCTGGTAAATCATTTCTCGTTTTCCCGTTGTCCAATTCACCGCCTCTTATTTTCAGTTTGAGTTCAAGCCGCGCACGATTGGGCTCATTTTCCTGATGTACTCGGTGGCGTACGGCGTGGCGTCGCCAATCTCCGGCCGGCTCAGTGACGTCATAAATAATCGGCTGCTGCTGATTGGTTGTGCGCTGGTGCTGACGTCACCAGTGCTAATATGCTTCTCACCGCCGACGCTCCTGGCCTTCATACCCAGGTGAGGAAAACTCATTTGCCGACTCGCTTACCGAAGATATTCATAGTGTTTATCAAGAAAGTATCATAGAAAAAATTGGACAGTCCACAGCACAGAACTATCAAAGCTCGCTCGTGCTCTCGAGTGGCACCAATACATTCTGTGCCACATCCAGTGCACAATAGCACTTAGTGGCATTTAGACATTCTTGCAGGTCTGTGACTTGATATTGACGTGTAATTAGTGACATCGCCAGACACTAGGACTTAGAGGTCGATGGGGAAGATGGGCGTTAAGCCACTAAAAGTTGCCCCAAAGATTCTGCCCTCCAATTCGTGACGCGCACCTTACCCAACGGCGACAGCTTCCTGTTTCCGTACCGCTCCTTACTACAGTCTCGCTTTTTCGACGGGCAATCATAGACTGCTTGCTATTTGCCTGTGGGCAAACAGCTCAAGGGCCATCAAGGACCAGCACGATAAGTGGATAACAGACAGCATATTTATGTTAAGTATGCCCAATCAGAGCGTTCCGAATGATGTGGCGCCGTACGGTATTTCTCTCGGCAAAACGTAGGCTGGTTTTTGGAAGAAATGATTTTAGATAACTGGCCCATAACGCTCTTTTCAAACATGCCTGCTCTGTATAAAGGGCTTTTCAATGATAGCTCCCGTTGGACATGTGATGTTTCATGCGTTGTATCGTACAATAATGAATGATACATTCGAGCACCCAGTCACTGTTATCATTATCACGCCGTACATACATAAACATGATCAAATATTATGTCAGAAACATTATGTTCAAATACATGAGTCGCAGCTGCCCTTTCCCTTAAAGCACTTTATGTGGTGCCCGTTATTCAGCAAAGCTGCCATCTGGCCTGCGGTGTACGAGTGAGCCCAAATGGTCCCAAAATAGACATTGCGCTTTCCCCATAGACCTGGATCCCTCTCCCCACCCGTTATCATGCGATGGTGTCACGACTGCAACGGATGGCGACTGCGGTGCTGTGACCGGTGGTCGTGGCTACCCCGCACTGCAGCAGCCGCTCTGCCGTGCGTACTGCTGCCCTGCAGTGCCGTGGCAGTCCCTCGCCGTGTACTGCTGCCCTGCAATGCCGCGGCAGTCCCCCGCCGCGCACTGCTGCCCTGCAGTGTCACGGAATCCCCCGCCGCGCACTGCTGCCCTGCAGTGTCACGGCAGTCCCCCGCCGTGAACTGCTGCCCTGCAATGCCGCGGCAGTCCCCCGCCGTGCACTGCTGCCCTGCAATGCCGCGGCAGTCCCCCGCCGTGCACTGCTGCCCTGCAATGCCGCGGCAGTCCCCCGCCGCGCACTGCTGCCCTGCAGTGCCGCGGCAGTCCCCCGCCGTGCACTGCTGCCCTGCAATGCCGCGGCAGTCCCCCGCCGTGCACTGCTGCCCTGCAATGCCGCGGCAGTCCCCCCGCCGCGCACTGCTGCCCTGCAGTGCCGCGGCAGTCCCCCGCCGTGTACTGTCGTCGCCTGACGCCCCGCCGCCCGTCGGCAGTGACCGGCTGTGGCTGGCGCTACTCTGCCTCTGCCTGGCCGCCGCCCTGATCGCCGCCACCATGGTGCCGACCTTCGGCGTGCTGCGGGACATGCTCAAGGGGTGAGACCCTGAGCCCGGCTGAACGCGTCACAGGCTGTGTGACTGTGCTGTGTGCTGTGTGCTGTGTGCTGTGTGCTGTGTGACGGTCAGTCACCTCTGCTCATCGCTCCTCTAGGGAAAACCCTGCAGTGTGGCGATGGGTAGCGGATTTGTTTCCTTTGGTTGTTAGATGATAGTTCCGCCGTTGCGTGGTGGCTTGCAGAATTATGTGTGCTCAAGGGTGTAAGGTCGAGGCAATAGCCTCAAGTCGCTTTGATGTGCCCCTTATCATTGTGAGAAATTGGAAAACGTGGTGTAAATTTGAGAATCATGCCTTTCAGACTCTCGTTCTGCTCATAAATAAATTGCTGGGTCCCAGAAACTCTTTCACGGGTTCCGGCATTCAAAGGAAATTTCACGCGAGTAGTGGAGAAATATTTCGGCCCAGCTTCATGCCGGCAACCCTTAACCGTTCTGTAAGGTGGGCTCCCATTGCTTCCAGTGCCCACCATTTTTTGTTGTTGTCCCAGTCAGGGTTGGAATGTCGACTGGCCGACGATTGGTCGGTAAGCCGCAGGGTATGACCAGCTGACCCCGCTGACCTCTCTCACGAACCATGATGTTTGATGACCTTTGATTGACCTTCCGATGTAAAGCCTTCAGCTCAAAGCCCAAAGCCCAAAGCCCGAAGCCGGTGCCCCTCACGCGTCTGCTTGTGACGTCCGGATGGCTCTCGCCCCCAGTCCGGTCGGCCTGCCCGATGACGTCACAACGGACGCTCTGGTGTCGTCGGCCTTCCAGACCTTCTTCTACGTAGGGTACGTGTGTAAATGGGACGCACGGCTGCGTGGCGGTCGCCCTTGCTGCCCCCGCCGTTCAGAAACGTGCTGTGGTGGTTGCGTCCAGCGCGCAGGGAAACATCTATGTCTGTGCAGATTCTGTGATCTTGTCCGACTTCTTGAATTTAAAAAAATAATTCATTCACATGGCTGCAAATGCAGCAGCCACTTAGAGCTAACGGCTGCAGCCGTAGTTTCATGAAAGTAGCATGCAAGTAGCATGAAAGTAGCATGCAACATGACAGTTTCGTAGCCCCGTTTCCGGAGTTCTACATCAATCACAGTTTGGAAAACTAGCACAATGCCTCGTAATGTTCTTTGCGACCTGCAGATATGTTCGCACCCACCTGAAGGCGCCACTTGTACTGGCGATCGTATAATAGAATGGTGGCCTTTGCTGCCACCTAGGCAAACGAGAAGGTGTCGTGTGCTGCCATCTGAGTATGGTATTTCCAGCTACGTGGTCGGACCTGCTGTCGGCGGACTCCTGGTGGACAGCATGGGCTTCAGCAACTCGGTTGTAGTCATCAGCGGTGTCGTCCTGTTCTGGGTGAGCAAGGAAGATACGCTCTGCGTTGCTAGGGGTCACATCCGTTCGGTCAGTGTCTTGACATACCGAATAGGGCCCGTGGACATCGCGAAAGATCTACCCTTATTGAAATACTGAAGACATTTAAGTTGAAATACAAAATCATTGTGAAATGTGGAGAGTTGTAGTGAAAAAAGTACGCTTAAAAAGAGAGAGAGAGAGAGAGAGAGAGAGAGAGAGATATATATATATATATATATATATATATATATATATATATATATATATATATAACTTCACTTCATCCCTCCCTGAAATGGGAGGGAGAAAGTAAAGTTGCGCTAGATACCAGAGGGATGGTGAGTTATTACGTTAATGAGAAACCAACCCCTGATGTGCCAACAGCCGAGACACTGGTCAAAAGAGCGCGTCAATCACTCATGGATATATATTATGGAACACCCGACGTCAAAGCAGTATTGATGGTCAGTAGCGGAAGCTAAGCAAAAACTAGGAGCAAAAACAGCAGGCCTCATGATAGAGAATGCTCTAGTTCTCTTAAGTCTCTGTCAATAAACAAGCGACCAGCTGTATATGCTTCCACGTCCTTGTTATGTCATGCGTTGTTACACTAGGATTTTGAGGAGGATGCGCGAGATACTTAACTATGTCCATATCTGATGTCCATGGCGCATCCAGGTTCGATACGTGGCTACCGCCATGATTTTGCGATGCTAAATGCATGTCATCGTGTAGCGTGGTCTGAGCAGTGCTGTTCAAGCACGATGCGCTTACTTCTGTTTTATTAGTCACCGGGGCTGAGCGCCGGCATCCTCACTAAGTTACCTGTAAGCCTTATACTTGGTGCGGAGCATCGGGACCCCCAGCTTAGCCGTGAATGATAAGGTGAGTCAAAAATGGTACGCATTGGCCACTTAAATGCGGAAACTAGTGGGACTCATTATTATTATTTATTGTCATTTTGTGTTGCCATTTATCGCACCGTATATCTGTTTCTTGTCTACAGTAATGCTAAATAGCATCGCTCTGCCAAGGACGCTAGTTTTATGCGTCCTGTATTCTACCCAATCTTGATCACCTGGGACTATGAGCCAGTGAACTAGAATTGCCTTTGAAATGGGATGGGAGTGGAAATTTCCATCGCAAAAAGATCGTGCAAGAGTGAAAAATTCAGTTTACAAAAGATAGAACATGAGTCAGTGATAGATGCTCCGACAAAGACATGCATTTAAAGTTGGCATAGACTCGATATCATAAACATGACAACTTATTTTTTCACATCAGAGGTCATTACACTGAAACGGAATGCATGAAATAATGGTAATTTCATGACAGTGTGGTGAGCCTAAAAAATATGTAACACCAATGTGTTGGTGCTGTTTTTTTGTAAAACATTGTACTCAACTCATTTTACTACAAATCTGTGAAAATGAGTGCACAAGTGATGACATTAAGCTTTTAAATCTCATTTAGAAGGCACTTCTAAAAATTTGTATTTCTACATTTCAAGAGTGGTGCAATTTGGGGCTCAAGTTTCTTCAGGAAAAGAAATGCGTAGAACAAAATTCTCTACCAGGCTTTGTTAGTGTTTGCACCAGGCTTTGCTTTGCTGGTGTGGTGTTTCCATGGTGCTGCCCCCAAAAAACTGGAGATGCGTGAAAACCTTGTATTTGGCACACAGCTGTAGATTGTGATGTATTTTATACACAAACCAAAATTGATGCACGTCAGCGGCTGGAGTCGTTGGGGCCCCCAGGCTTGAAGGTACCTGGTGTCATTGCTCTGTGCATACATAGACATGATTCAGATGTACTTGATGTAGGATATAGCCATAATGCTTGGTGTCCAGGTTCTATGGGTCCTGGACATCTATGGTTGGTGGTTTTAAGTGGGCTTGGACTTGGATGATATCTTAAAACCTCTGGAAGGGAAATATGAGTTTAGTATCTCTGATAGACAATATCAGATAGGAGTAAACAATTCAGATAAAATGTGGTAAAAGGGGTGAAAAATTCCTCCTCACAGGATGTTGTCTTGCACCCAAAGTCGGCAATTACCGGACACTGCCATGAGCACCCGGCACTAAACGCAGTTTGACCTTCAAAA